TCTGGCCGCACAATTGCTCTAGTACTAGCATTTTTAGATATCCTATCCCCCAGATTGCCAAAAACACGGGTTTTTGCGATATTTGAGGTTATATAATGAAAACATAAAATTGTTTGCTCATTTCTAATTAGGGCATTATTTTCGTGTATTGCGATTCGATTTTTCTTTCTCGAGATATAGTAGTTTTAATAGTACTTCGGTATTACGTCGTAAGCATAAGTCATCATAACATCGTTATGAGCGAAAACGCTTTTTGTATTGATTTATGTATGTATTCTTGTAATTAAATATTGTTAATTTTTTGCTTTTGAAAAAAGCAGCCTTTGATTAAAAAAAAATTGGTGCTTTTAGTTTGGTAAAACGCCTTTTTCCAAGTTTTTGGTGCTTTTTGAAAAGCAAAAGTGGGCAACACTGCGTGTGAAACACACATGCGCTCAGAGAGCGCTCAGTGAGCTGCCGACCATTGATTTAGAGTATACAACATTTTTAAATTATGAGAGTGTTCCTGGTAACTTTACAACTATAAGGCCAGGTAAAAACCCTGGGTAAGCACCGGCAAGCAGCATCAGAGGATTACTTTATGTAAATGGTGAAGTCAAATTCAAGTTGCGTCATACCGACTGCCGGACATCATTGCCACAAAAACGAGCTTTGTTATTACAGCAATACGCAACGGAGGTATTCTACGATGGTCAAAAAAAAATTATCAATCTAAACACAACAGCCTTTAAACTTTAAAGCAATATATACACAAAGATTTCCATTCGTTGTATAATAATCTACCTCGATGAATACTTAGTTTTACATTTTTATGCAATTTACTATGTTATGCAAACTTGCTTAATGTATACAATTGTGAAAGCATTTAATAAAAATTCAATCATATTTATATTGAAATTATTTCTTGTATATACGAGCTTTCATTGGATATCACCCATCGAAACTTTGAAAAACTGCATTGGGTCACGTTAATACGCTGGCCGAAAAAAACAGTTCGCATCTCTGACAATTTCATGGTTTGTACAAAACATGTGTCCACTCACCACTTTGCATTAATTTTTATTACAAAATCCAATAAAAACGTTTCTGACCATTTTTCATTACATAACAAGAGCAACGGGCAGTTAACTAATCGAGTCCTCAACTTTTATACATTGCATCTAGGCCTAACGCCAGTATTATGTACAAATTGCATACGATTCCATTCCGCCAAAAGCAAATTAGAATCGTGTATAAAAACAGTTATGAGCTTCAAAGCGGCGCAAATGTTGATCACGTCGTAAATGGTCAAAAAATTTGATTTTTTTCATAAATCAATAACATACTTTTATTATAATTTTTTTGATACTACATTTGCAAAATATTGCCTATTGGCACCAGTAATCAGGCACGACACCCCTTTCGAAATAAAGAATTCGTATGCCCGGCTGCATCAATACATTTTGTTCGGAAATTTTGTCATTTTAAATTTTAACAGTCTGATAAATTTTAAAATTGATCGGCGAAACTGGGGATAAGACATCTTTTCACATCATTTTATGAAATCGTTTGAAAAGTGGGATTTGTTTTTTATATGCTTGCAAAAGAAAGTTTTCCTAAAATGCTTTCGTAATAAAAGTCTTTTAAGCATCGTTCGTTTGACACCCATATTGTTAAGTTTCGGTGAAATTCAAATTTAAAAATGGAATTTAACTTTTAATCAGGTGGCAACCCTCTTACATCTCTATGCCGAGCCTACTCACACACTCGCTCACAAACTTTCACATTTATAATATTTCACAGATATAACTTGTGAATTAAATTGATTTCAAATTCCCAAACTGGTGACAATACTCGTCAAAAATATATATTTTCGATCATATTCTCCAAAAAATCTATTGTTTTCAATTCCAGAGAATTTTCTCTTTTATTTAATACCCATATTGTTATTGTACATTGCACTGAATTTTTTAAATGGATAATTATGAAGAATTATAATTCTTTGAAATAATCATATCTAACCAAAAATACGATGTTTTCAAATAGATTGGTCCCTGGTCCACCTACCGGGGAAAAATGTCCTATATGTTAATCTAAGCAAAAAGCATATGTGCCAAATAAACTTCAAGCAAGTCAGACTATAAATACGATTTTTTCGAATAGATCCGCCCCAAGAATGATAGAATACAAGATTGCGCCAATCGAGCTGAGAGCAACTGGCCGTGACGTCAAAATATACCAGAATGAGAGAGCAAGACGAACTCGACAAGAAAAAGAGGAAGCATCCAACAAAAGGCAGTGTTGCCAAGTTTTGAATTTGAAAAAGCACCAAATTTTTATTGGTGTATTTTATGGGCTTTATATGAATACATAATTTTAATGTAAGGATGCCAATTCAAATTAATAAAAATCAATTGGGTGGTTCACAAGGTGTCGTAAGTGTCGTGTGTCGCAAAGTTTTTACCGGCTAAATAAATGTTTAGAGGACTTGAAATCACCACCAACTATTTTTTAGTGGTGCGGAATTTCATAATAAAACTTTTATGTTAGCTTGCGAATTCCTTAAATATAGTTTTAGCCGTTTAAAGTTTATGACATACAACAGTACGACAGTATACAACACCTTGTGAACTCCCTAATTGTTTCTTGCACAACGGTCGATTTCTTCTGGCATGATTGAAGGTGCTGCACATATTTCGTTGTCGCTTATGATTGTCACTGTGCCATGATTTTGTTTAAATTTTTGTAAAATTGCTTACCACACTTACGATTGCTATAAATTTTGCTTCCATGTTTTTTAAGATTTTCTAATTTGATGTCTTCAAACTAAAAACAAAAGCACCAAAAACGCACCAAGCACAAAACGCAAACATTTTCGCGCTTTGAATACCCACTAAATTTGGCGCGAAAAGCATCAAGTTAGCAACAGTGAATGTAAACACAAGTATTTTATAACGTCAGCGATTGGGTGGATGCTGTCAAATCGCCGAAGAGAGGGTTAGCGGTCCGCGAATGGCGCGACCTTTATTTTCTTGATCGTGGATCCGTCCCTGGTCCACCTACCGGAAAAAGGGCCCTATATGTTAATCGAGGCGACAATGCGTTTTTGCGTGATTGAGTAACAAAGATCCAACCATACAAACTACTTTTGATATTTTTTCAGCCAAATGTATTTTAAATAGTTGAAATCAAATGCAGAGTCGGAAAATCGACTTGCTGCTTGTACATAATTCAAACTGAACATTTGAAAGCGCAGTTACATGTCTGGCTGAAGCTGGCCGTCGAAGGCAACATTTTAAAATGATTATACATAGAATTTTTTTTGTGTCTTCCAAACATGAAAAAGCATCTGTGAATTGCAAAACGTAAGCTTTTCTAGTAAATCCGCATCTGCAAATTTTCAATAGGACGGCAGAAGTTTTTGAAGGATAATATTTTTAAAGGACATTTTTGACATGTTCCAAACGATAATTGAAAACAAAAGTTATAATTAATCTTTTTCGAATTCTTCTTTCAATTGATACCCATACTTGGGTTAACTTTTGGAAATATATTATAATTTATGGTCCTTTGGAAAAAATCCTGACCACCTGGAAAAATCAAAAACCCAGATTTACTAAATACAATAAACTAATACTGTAGCGAGTATAGAAATACCGTCTTACACAGAAGTAAAATTAGTAAATTAACAAAACACGCGAACTGCACAAAGCTTATTCTGAGAACTTTGGTCCGAATGGCATACATTTTATTCGGATGGTTTTTAAGACAAAACCAATAAAAATAGGGGGTAAGCGGTAAAAAACTTTGGTTTTCTGGGAAATTCTAATGTACATATACATAAGTAAGTATGATTGTTTGGGTAAAATTTTGTAATAAATTTGTATCCAAATTCCCGATGAGCTAGAGACTTGAAACCTAGCTCATAACTCGATGAGAATGCAATATGAAAGATGATTTAACCCGCTAGGTAGCACAGGGGTCGAGATATTTGAAAACCCCGTAGAAATACCTCCAGGAAAACATTTTCCAGTAGGTACGCGGGCTCGATATATTTCGAAACCCTACATTTATGGTCTAATTTAGTTTATGCTTACAATATACATATATTACTTACAAGAAAAGGAATAACTCCACACAAAATTTTCCAGACAGGTGGCGCAGGAGTGAAGAAAACCCATATTTATGGTCTGATTTGTTTCATACGAATATTTAGAAAGCTTGTTTTAAAAAATATTTTTTACTATTAACTTTTTCATGCGACAATTTGTAATAGCTCGTAACAATTCTTACCAGTTACCAGAGGAAATTGAGAGAGCGAAATAACAGCTGATTTTGAGGGGAAGTTGCAAGTTTTAAGTAAGTTTACGTCGTTATGAGGCATTTACGCATGTAGATAAAGTGCTTTTTTGCATAGATAATAATAATTGTTGTTTATTATTTTTTGCTTAAAAAATAAATGTTATTTTTAAATTTTAATTTTTAGTTACTTATGTAAATACATACATATGCACATATGTACCTATGCGCATATGTATGTACACACATGCATTAATCCATATGTACATCCTACACATAATTTATGCAAATTCAAATAACGCACAGTTTAGATTGAAAATCTTCGTAAAATGGTGGCCGCATTGGTATTGGATCTCTTAATAGATTGATATTATCTTTAGGAAGGCAATTTCCTTAATTTAATTAAGCATTGGTTAAAACAAAATAAATAAAAGCAAAAGCAGAGCGCGCCAAGCACTCGTCCGATTCCTGAATACTCCAAAAGCTCACATTCATTTCTATTATATATACATACATATCTATGTATGTACATATATGTATACACATACAAAGGCACACACTCACATTACAACGTCGTTTATAGAGATAAGGATATCACTGATGCAAAAAATTCTAAGCAGTACCGTAAACGAGTTTATTAACAAGAACATTTGTATTTAATGTTAGAATATTTTCTTATACATATCCGTATATTCATAAATGTTAATTGCTGCATATTTTACCGTCAATTGTTTACCAATATATGGTATTGTGTTGACTTTCCCTGCGTTGCATCTTTTGCGACATCGACACCGATGTAAAAGTGCTTGACGTTCAAACCCTGTCTAACGTGATTTTTTCTAAGCACAGAATATTTTCATAAATCATTGCACTTAATTGGAAATTTTGTTACAATAATTTTTACACGGATGCAAGTTTTATGACGCGATTTACTGAAGATATTTTAATTAAAAATTTAATCGTCCTTGTTGATTTTGCGGCAGCAAATCGGCTATGGTGTCGCAAATACCATGAGGAGGACAACGAGTATCTATACGACGAATCAAAGTTAACCGAATAGAGTTGACACGAATTTTAACGAACTATGCTGAAAAACATTACAACCCGTACTTATGCCTACTTTAAAAGCTCTGCAAAAATGCTTGAGCAGAGATGCCACCAGATATAAATATAATTTAAATATTTTTATTTTCAAAGATATTTCAATCAAATAAAACTATTTCGTGGTATATTTACTACTTATATACATATTTACATGTATGTACATACATACATTTGTAAGTAAACATCATATGTGTATGTACATATGTGGCGCGGTTAACAAGAAGTCAGGCGTAGATATGTACATTAGCGCATATCACAAGAAAAAGTGTAGTGTGTGTCAGTTTATTTGAATACTTACGTATGTATGACTAAAGAAAGTTTTGGGTGGTGTACAAATTTTTTAAGCACCCACTAAAATTAGCTAAATCACATGTTTTTACTGTAATTTTCTTATCTGATGCGAGATTTTTTAAATCTTAATGTCGCCGGAAAGGTCTCGCACAGGACTATAATTTGCCTTTAAAAGGTTTGGGCCATAAAAATCATTTTGATTTTTGCCTTAATTAAGTTTGCAAATACTATCCCTAGTTTTTTATTTTTATAATATAAATCTAAAGCTCTCAAAAAGTTATGAGGACTTTGCTATAAAGTGTTAGTTTTATTCACAAAAAAAAGTTATATTAATGTTTTGAATTCTTTTGTGGAGGTTTATATTTTTTGTTTTTATTTTATTTATCTTTTCATGATCGGCATTTAAAGTATTTTGTATGGGAATAACTGGATCATCGAAAAATGTCTGTAAACTTAGCCGGTTGTAATTCAGTTGGGAAAAAATTTCAAATACATAGTTGAGAGAGTTTCTGTCTAGCTTAGTTTAAATCAAAAATTTAATATCATAGATTCATTGAAAGTGTAAAGTTTTACTGAAGAAGTGATCGCAGCAGAAAAAACATGTTTCTTTGAACCGAAGAATATCTTTAGCAACGCTACCAACAAATAAGAATGTAATACAATGTTTAATTAATATAAAACAGAATGGCTTTCATTTGCCCAAAACCCGCAAAATAATTCTATACTCATCAGAGTTCATTAAAAACTTATCGAAATTTGGGAGTGCGCGAAGATTCCAGTAGTTGGCAGGCTCGCAATTCTTAAATATAAAAATGTAGTTATCGAAAATATTATTTTATCACAAAAAAAAAACAACTAAATATAACAATGAATAATAGAATCGGCTATCTCTACTCGTACATAAATCTAGGAGGCATTCGGGGAAAAATTGCAATGGTATCGACACAACGAGAATACAATCAAGTTCAAAGAATTTTTTTTAGAATATCACTAGAGTTACCCGGCCAAGTGTTGCCGCCGCTCAATCTTATAAAATAGAAATATAAATATCAGAGGATAACTTATATGATTTTCTTTGCATTGTAAACCTACCCCCTTGTCGTTAATTTTCAGTCGCTCTCGAATGTAATTCGGACCCACGATTGAGAGAAATAGAGGTTGAGCCAAGAATGATAGAATACAAGATTGCGCCGATCAGAGAGGATTTTTGAGAATAACTTTTGTGTGACGTCACACTGGTGCAATTGCGAGAGAGAAATGCCAAAACGTGAGCAAGAATGGAAGAAGAAGAAAAAATTTTGCAAGGAAAAACGTAAACAAGTTGCACCAGTGTGACGTCATGCAAACAACGATTCTGTCAAATTCGTTAAGAGAGGAATAGCGGTCCGAGATCGGCGCAACCTTTGTATTCTCTCAATCGTGAGGTTGCGCCAATCACGGTACCGCTATTCCTCTCTCAGTGAATTTGACAGAATCGTTGCTTGTATGACGTCACACTTGTGCAACTTGTTTACGTTTTCCTTGCAACATTTTTTCTTCTTCTTCCATTCTTGCTCACGTTTTGGCATTTCTCTCTCGCAATTGCACCAGTGTGACGTCACACAAAAGTTATTCTCAAAAATCCTCTCTGATAGGCGCAATCTTGTATTCTATCATTCTTCATTCGGACATACATGTCAGCTCAAGATCGATAGAATACAAGATTGCGCTGATTGATGTGAAATTCGGAGGAGTAACGTGAATATGACGGCATCGCAGATTTGCCGGTATAGAGAGCTGAGAGAGATCTGTCAATATACAAGACAGTGATGAAATTGATGGTACAATTGTACTTTCTTGAGACATTTTGAATCCCAAAAGTACATTTGTACTACATCGACATTTTTGATAAAATTTTGTCAAAATACGGCGCTGCGCCAAATTCTCTCGCAATACCATTGTGTATTCTTGGAAATTTGAATATTTGTGGATGAAAATATGATCATCATTTTCTACCTCATACAAATAAATACGTGGTGTTTCTTAAAAACGAAAGACTTGCTAAAATCAACGAACAGTTGCTATAATAATATAAACCGTAGAAAATACTAAATTGTTTGCAAAATGTTTTTTGTGAAACTTCGATTGCGTTAAATGTAGGTGTTGAGATAATTCCATCCCACCATTCACCATGCAACTGGTGCAGTAAGGGTCATCAATGATATTCAGCCTTACTGCATGCTTACCTATAACGCAATGACCGCCCCTGGTCTACACGTGACCAGAAGGACGTAGCCACCTTGCATTCCAAGGTCTTTGCCCAGCGCACGCTGAGCTGCTAAACGCTAATCTGTCCAGAAGTAGACCGCATTAGGTCAGGAGAGCACCAAGACCTTGAGCAATTTCTCAACGGTTCCCTGTATTGCCAACTAATCGACTATGCAGGTACCCGCGATTTCGCTATGACCTGGAACCCAAATGAGCTAAATAGCATAGTTATCCGATGCGGTCGATAAGGAAGTCCAGCCAGTACTCACCGTTTTCGAACGAACCAAAAAGGATCCAAGAGCTGCTTGGCTATCGAAATAGCTATTCACCTACATAAAATTGGTTACACTAGAGAGCAACCAATCCGAAGCCTCATGTAATGCGGTTACCTCTGCTTGGAAAACGCTACAGTGATCCGGTTGAATTTCTGATTGATGGAGAGTTTTATCTGTTTACACTTTTGAATCTAAACGAAAATTCGAACAGCTGTTCGGATAGCTTGAAATTTGCTGCAAACTATACTGGATATTTTCCTATTGTAAGATAACAGTTGACATTTCACGGAAATTTTGTTGCTGGACATGTTTTACTGGAGATTTTAAACGAACGTACCAATAGAGAAAACTACCTAATTATTTAAAAACATACATATATGTACACACATATGTATGCATAGTCTTTTAAATGCTGGTACTTTTCCGGCTGATTTAGTACTATTTTTGGGCATTTGGTACACAATTAAAAAAACCAACTTATCATCCCTGATGCAAGAATGATAGAATACAAGATTGCGCCCATTAGAGAGGATTTTTGAGCATAATTTTTGCGTGACGTTATCTTGGTGCAATTGCGAGAGAGAAATTCCAAAACGCATAGAAAAATATGTAAGCAATGCAGGAAAATGTGTTAATATTAATATCAAATGGTCCAATTTTGCAGGAATCAATAAATATACAATGATTAATTAATTAGGAACACGTAGAAATAATTTTTGACATGTAGCCCTTTAGGTAAGTACGATTTTTAGCGCATGACGGATGTTGAAAAAATGCATGTATTAACAATGTTTGCAATTTCATCTAGACCAAAAGCAAGGTGTTTAGCAAATTGAATTTGGACTCGCCACAAAGCATACATTGTAAAAAGCCATGCAGACTGCATATTTATATTTGTGGTCATCCCATTCGTTGTTTTCGATAGTTTGCATTGAAATTACCGATACTTTCGATAGTATCGGATAATTATAAAATGTATTGACGAAGCTATTATATAAACTTTTTCCTTTCATTTAGTTCCTGAAGAATGAGCTAGTTGTTATATAGCGATTTTCAGTAACTTTGTCCTTTCTCTTTGATTTTTAAAATATTTCAAACCGATAATATAAAAACCTAAAATTCCCAATCATAGAAAAACAAATCACTTTTAAACGTAAAGAAAACTGTATGTATTACAAACAACTTTCATCAATCCAACTCCGGCTCCGCCACGGTATTTTTGCATGGAACTCACTCCAAAATTTACGGAAAAGTCTATATTTCAAGTGTGGGCTACAAGAACCCAAATCATTGTACAAATAGCCGAACCGTACCCCGATTTATACATGATTTTTTATCTATTCAAAGTATCAAACGCAAATACAAGAATCTCCAAAATCTGATTAACCCTGGCTTATATCAATAGTTTCACCCATCGCCGCAGAATCACTAACACCATATGAAGTATGGTTCCAAAACGATATTGAAACTAGTTTTTTTTAATTTAATTACACCCTAATTTCATGATTCAAGTACTTTTAAGTAATTCTGGTTCATTCTCTTTTGCGTTTTCTATTTGCTTTTACACGCTTAAATTTTGTTGAATTCCAGTTTTTGGTTCTTTAAATGGGAAACAACGAAAATGTGTAAAGCAAAGCAAGAAACTTGAAACCACTTGACGGTACAGACCAGGGTTGTTGCGAATATTCGCATTCGCATTCGCCACCGCGGAGCTTCAGCATTAATTTTAACATTCGCATTCGCTTTCGCAATAATCAATGCGGAACTTTTGCGAATGCGAATATTGTGCAAGTGCACTGATAAAATGTATATCTGGCAATCAAAATGACAAATTGTAGCCAGTATTTTTTGGCTGTGGAGATGCTGCGTTAAAACTGCCCCCCTACGTCCCCCTTCTTTTTTAATTTAAAATCAAATAGGCATTTCCAGCGGAAATGTTCAACGTCTAACTAAAAAGAGAATGGACTATTTGCGCGTTAAAAGACAGCCTGTAATTAGGTAAGAATTATGTAACTATCGAATATTATTTGCCAAAGGTCTGTTGAAAAAACTGGATGAATCGCTAGCGGTTAGTAATTAATTGTGACTGCCTGCAACTAGGAAAAGTCGAACTCAGCTAATTAAAAAACGAATTACAAGCTATTCATTACAGGTG